GTTTCTTACCTTCCAGTTCGCGCTTTGTTTAAGCTGCTGACGAATAATACAATTAACTTTTTTCTCTTCTAGCGACGATGGAACAGCATCGACACCGACGGCAAACTCTAAAGTATGCAACAAATACATCACCGGAATCGAGAAGCGGAATGCGGTCGCCCTCCTAAGCCTACCACCGTTGGATGTTTCCATCAGCCTACAGGAAGATAGTAAAGAGAATTGCGGAACGGCGCGAAAAAAAATCGCCCAGTTATTGTCAAGCTGATTCAGAAATAAACGTACTATCATGGACACTGTTATAGCGAGTTCGTTTCACACGCACTGGCACCGTTCGAGTTCTCTCCCAGAATACATCGCACTCACAGAGTGTTGCACGGAAAACTGGACTGAAACGAACTCGCCAAATGCACCGAGTGCAGAAGACTGATGCTGCCGCCATCTATGTTGTAGAAAAGGTACCGACTTCAAACCGAAACTAGCGCCTTTCTGTTCCGAGTGATGCGTGGGGACGCGAGAATGCAGTCGCTACCACCGTTTATCTACAAACGTTGGCAACTGCAACCTGTAGTTTATAGTTGCGATGTCTTCAAGCAGCTCGGCTGCCGTAGAGATAGTTACAGACGGCGTAAATTTCCGCAACCAGCTGTCTACAAAGCAGCTGGTTGCGATCTTTCAATCCTTATAACCGTTTACACTGAAGAAAAGTGATGATGGTGTCCGAGCAGAAGCTTGATCCGTTTGAGCATGGTATTATGCGTGAACCACTGAAAGGGTACAGCTTAAAACTAGCCTGTTGGAATATCCAGCAAAACTGGGACTTTCGATTTGGATCGTCATTATAGGTGGATTAGATATTAGCCTTGGTGAGGGCGTCGAGAACGAGAGCTTTCTCAAACAAAATACGACAAGGCAAGTTAGCTGCGTAGGTAAATGTTAAACATGATGATGTTGCCCAATCCTCGGGTACAGTCACCATCTTTAGCTTTCTCTGATGCTTATTGGGCAGTCAGAGGTTTCTGCTGGGGGAGGTTTATCGAGAAATGTTAAATTTTTCACCCGCACACGGATGGTGATCGACATCTCGGGGGCCACTGTTGCGTTTGTTCTGAGCATTTCTTTACACACTGGTATATTTCAGCGTTGTACGGCAACAGAGCGATTTAAAACCTGCAAATAAATCAGGGGTTGCCAATTGCTTCCTCCGTGAAATAGCAGACGCTCACAATTCAAGCTCGCGTTTGATTTTGTTTCCCGCAGGACGCGATTTCTATCAGAAAATCTAGTTTTTTTTCCCGTTCGGTTCCGCGACACATCGTAGCAGACGAACCCTCGTCGTCTGCTCCCGCTCCTCGCCGGCCCCACCGGAGTGAGGCATGACGGGATTGCATTTTGGCGCACTCCCGATTTTCTCGGTGCAGCGAGTGCATGCACGCGTGGGGTGTCAGCGCTGAAACGAACACGGAAAGTGCAACCACTCGTGGAGTGCCGGCCGAAACGAACCCGTTCCACGCTGCGAGTGGGCACGCGTGGGCACGAGTGCCGTGAAACGAACTCACCGCAGCGGCGGCCGTCCCGCACCCCTAGCGCCTCATAGCAGGCGCCGTCCGAAACTCCGCGCATGCGCCGTGTGGCGATCTCGCTCTTCCCGTTTGCGAGCACACCCTCGCTTTGTCGTCTGCTAGGCGCAGAGCAGGCGATGCCACGGTGCTGCTCGTCTGGTACCCAGGCCCTAGCGAACTGGTCTGAAACTCATTTTAAACCGGCGATTTTGATTGGGGGAGATTGCAGAGTCATTGAAGCATTAACCCTGTCTACGTTTTTTTTTTTTTGTTTTTTTTTTTGTTTTTTAGGAACAGGATTTCGCAATGCATCTTTCACAATATGCGCTCGCAAACCAGTATGAGCGCAGCAGGTGTGATACAAAAATAGACTTATACTCCGTTTCACCTAAAGTCCGAATGCAGCGTACGCTACAAAACAACATAGCCAATCAAATAGCGGCAAAGGTGCAATGTCACGGAGTGCATCACCGGGGGACACAATAAGGTGCAAAGAGTGAGCTTTTGTCGCTTTTGGTTGGCCCTATCGTCTCGTAGCGTCCGCTGCGCCTAGACCTAAAGTGAAACGGAGTATAACTGCAAGTTCGTCCCATAAAAAAGAAAAAAAGTAATCTATTGTGGTATTACAATTAGTGGCGATGATCATCCTTAGCCAGCGGAGTCAGGGAATCAACCGTGGACACCTCTTACGCCGTGGTTTGCTGAACCGTGTTCAGGGGAAATCGGCAAGCGCTGTGGCGTCGTCTGCTCTGTGCCTAGCAGACGACAAAGCGAGGGTGTGCTCGCAGGCGGGAAGAGCGAGTCCGCCACACGGCGCATGCGCGGGGTTTCGGACGGCGCCTGCTATGAGGCGCTGGGGGTACGGGACGGCTAGAGTTCCTGTATAGGCTCCCTACGGGAGCCTATACCGTAGGTAGCTATACAGGAACTCTAGGGACGGCCGCCGCTGCGGCCGTCCCGTATTAGATCCGCACAACCGTGCGGATCTAATTCAAGCCCCGACCAGGGCGCCCCTAGCGGCAAACGGGTCCGTTGCATCGGGCATCTTCTGCCAGGCGCTGCGTTGGTTGTGCGTTCTTGTAGTGGGTTAGCCGGTTAGCGCTGTAATTTCTGAGATGACTATTCCGCACCAAGAAAGCCGCAACAAGTGCTGCCTGGTCGGCTGAAACAGTACGTCGAAGATCGCGCACGGCACGTAGTACTAAATCGTCCCTTCGAAGCCGTACGAGGCGGAGTACTGCGCGACCTGGGTCAGAGCCTCTGCCTGGGTACGACTTGTGCGTCCATACAGGTTAGTGGTGTTTCTTACCTTCCAGTTCGTGCTTTGTTTAAGCTGCTGACGTATAATACAGTTACCTTCTTTTCTCTTCTAGCGACGATAGAACAGCATCGACACCGACGGCAAACTCTATGCAGCAAATACTTCACCGGAATCGAGAAGCGGAATGCGGTCGCCCTCCTAAGCCTACCCTTGGATGTTTCCATCAGCCTACAGGAAGATAGTAAAGAGAATCGCGGAGCGGCGCGAAAAAAAAATCGCCCAGTTATTGTCAAGCTGATTCAGAAATAAACGTACATAATTACCGCAGTCCCCTCAACGCCAACTAAATTTTTTTGCGGGCGCGCTTAATTTTGTTTGCAGAGTACGGCGCTCCGTGACATCCACTTGTCCGTCGAAACGGACCTCCTTCACGTCGTACACGCGGCCAGATTCATGAAAAAGTTTTCTCTTCGTCATATTGGCACCACGGAAGAAGCTTTCTGGATTCGTAACGGCCTTAAACCCCGTCGTAATCACCCCGGGAACACTATCCGCTGTGCTGCTAATCGCCACTGTTTCCCCCCGATGATTCTGCACCGGCTACCGAAGAAGCTTTCCGGATTCGTAGTCGCCCCCTGTCCTCTGTGCTGTTCGTTACTATTACTTCGCGATGATTCTGAGCCGGCGGCACCGGCTTCCGAAGGAACTTTCCGAACTCGTAACTGCCTTAAATTCCGTCGTAATCACGACGGGGACGCTGTCCGCCGTGCTGTTCGTCGCCATTGCTGCCCGATGCTCCTGCGGCGGCTACCGCCAGGTCAGCCAGGTCGCGGCGAACAATCGGCGACCGCCGCGACACGGCCGGCTTGCTCGCTTCCTATAGCTAACAGTGTCCACTCAACGCCAACAAAAAATTTTTGCGGGCGCGCTTAATTTTGTTTGCAGAGTACGACGCTCCGTGACATCCAGATGTCCGTCGAAACGGACCTCCTTCACGTCGCACACGCGGCCAGATTCATGAAACAGTTTTCTCTTAGTCATATTGGCACCACGGAAGAAGCTTTCTGGATTCGTAACCGCGTTAAACCCCGTCGTAATCACCCCGGGATCACTGTCCGCTGTGCTGCTAATCGCCACTTCTTCCCCCTGATGATTCTGCACCGGATACCGAAGAAGCTTTCCGGATTCTTAGTCGCCCACTGTCCTCTGTGCTGTTCGTTGCTATTACTTCGCGATGATACTGAGCCGGCGGCACCGGCTTCCGAAGGAACTTTCCGAACTCGTAACTGCCTTAAATTCCGTCGTAATCACGACGGGGACACTGTCCGCCGTGCTGTTCGTCGCCATTGCTGCCCGATGCTTCTGCGGTGACTACCGCCAGGTCGCGGCGAACAATAGGCGACCGCCGCGACACGGCCGGCTTGCTCGCTTCCTCCCTCTTAAATACTACAACGAAATTTCGCCGCTCATTTTTTGGTCTATATCTGTTCAAAAAAGCACCATCAAATCGAACATACCAATATCTCGTTAAAAAAGTCACGAAAAGGAATTTTAAAACGAATTAAACGATTAGCAAAGAGCACCTGGTGGATGTCGCTAACGCCTCGCTTGTAATGCCCGTCTAGCAACCTTGGCAGCTAGTGACGGAGGTTGTCCCGAATCCGGCCACGACGAGAGGAGAGGGGCAGGAGGAACTCCCCTCTTCCCGAGAATGCCTTTTGTGTGTCGCAGAAGTCGCTATTGTCCCCCCTACAAGATTATAGAAGATTAACCCGTCACTCTAAATTTGTACAAAAGCAGCCGCGTCGGTGGCTGGAACGACTAGGCCATCCTCTCGACGTCAGCCTCGCCGTAGCTTTGGTCGTCTTGAGACGACCTACGTCACGATTGCGTTGGATGTCACGTGGTCTCCGCTGGGCCTTCTCCGAGCGCTTGCCAAAGTGGGCCGTTTATAACGAAAAATACAGCCACCAGGCTCAAAATACAAACGTGTGATTGTCATTTACGGATAATGTGGATCATATTCAACCTATTTTTGAACACGACGGGAATATTTCAAATTTCTACCCTCTCCCCCATGCTTCTTAGGATAGGTGGCGCAAGCTGCCGCCCGTTATGAAGGGCACGGCCATTAGCATCCATCCACACACCAACCGGAAATCGCCCGAAGATTTAGGGCGATTCCGGGATTCCGAGAGTTGATGGAAGCAACCGAAGCAACGAGATTTGCGTGATGGAGAGAAGCTGTGTTTCTGACCTCGTGCGTCGCCTGCTGCTGATAAAATTCGTGTTGAGCCTCAGCATTGCGGCATGCAGCAGCTACGGACTCCACGGTGACACGCTACGCCTTGCCCCGAGCACGGAAACGGGCTCGATGTACACCTTCTTCTCGGACCCTGTCGGAGCGGAAAGTTCGTCGAGCTCCCTGGCTGCCCGGCGTCTGAAGCGCTCGGTCACCGTCTCGGACACTCCGATGAACACCACGGGCATGATGTCCATCGTAAGCGTCTACCCCTTTTTGTTCCCAGTGTTGGCGTAACATGACACAACCCGCGTCGCCCGCTTGCGCAGTGTTTACGGCCGCGGCCTGCGGAGCTCTGCTCCCAAGTGACGATGTATTGTCTCCTGTTGCCGGGCTCGGTGCCATGGTAGCTGATGCAGGCGCGCAGTGCGCACCTAAGCTGGGGCCCCTATTCGAGCGCCGGCGCGGGGCTCACCCGACGACGTCTGCAGCCGGCCGGATGCGGGCACCGCGATAAAAAGGCCGACTTTGCTTTCCCCCGCATCGTCCGACTGGCTGTCCGGGGTCCTCAGAGGGCTCGGAGGAACGGGTTGTCGCCACGGTGACGGCCATCGGGGCTGCTCCTGACCCCCTCGACGTTCCCCGATGGTTCGACATCTGGTCCTAACTCGGCAGCGGAAGTTTGATTCGTGCAGTTATTGCCTCGACGGCCGTGATGGTGTGACGAATGAAAGGTCGTTTTCTGTCGCCTTGAGATGGGCCAAGTTTGTTTGCCCATGATGGATGGTGCGCACGATCAGCGGTGTATCGTTCTGCAGCTATAAGGCCGCAGAAGTCATGGAACGGTAGAGAGACCAGCTGGACGGTTCCAGTTTCCCGAAAGCCAAGATGTGTTCTTCGTGTGTCTTGGCTACTCTTCACCTCACATTTTCCTTTTGGCAGACTGTGACTGGTCTTCTATGAGGATTCTCTTTAACCAGGGTTGCCAGGTACTTGCAGAGTAACCCGCCAAATTTTTGTGAGCTATAGCCCAAGAATAGCCAAATGACGGGATATAAAAATAGCCCAAAATGTAAGACTTCATACAAGGTATTTAAAACATATTTTTGGAACACTGATGATATAACACATAACACGTATGCACAAAAAAAAAAATGCAAAGAGATGAAACATTACCTGATTCCTGAACCAATGGCGGAGCACGGGTACATCACTTCGGTGGCGCAGTGGCGGAATCGGAGGGGAATCCAAATGCCCTGAACCCCCCTCCCCACCTCTTTTCTCAACCCTAACATTTTACACATGTAGCATTCAAAAGGAAGGGGGGTGGAGGTCTTTTTTCAAACATCTTATACGCTGATCTCCCGGAAACACCTGCATCCGTCCCTGGCTGCGGTATTGAATCACACCAAAACACGTCAAACAAAACACTTAAAAACTTAAAAAAAAAAAAAAAATCATACCTTTGGGACTAATGATTAATGAGGGTCCACCCATTGTATTTTCATGCTTGTGATTTGGTATTTTCCTTTTCTACTTTCTTGAGTTGATTGTTGTTTCCTTCCTGGCTGAAAATGCCATGCTTTGAAACGAAGTGGCTTGGAAACTAGGTCCTTTAAAATTGCTTGAATCTCGAGTATGAAATAGCCTAGGATAGTAGGGTTGTGCGAGTATTCGGAATTTCAAATAGTAGTTTCGAATATTACACTTTTTGCTTCGAGAAGAACTGCACTATGCTCGTTTTTCGAAATGATTGTTGCAGCGGGTTAGTCCCGTTGAGTGCGCTTTTTACCGAGCACTGGTGCACTGCAGAGAAGCAATATCCGCAGAAGTAGGCGGTTATTGCATCTCTGCAGTGCACCAGGCTACCCCCCAAAGTGAGTCGTTGGTGGCACCACCTAAGATGGGCTAAGTGAAGCTTCGGTGGAATTCCCACTCCCCGGTGTAAACCTTTTGAGGGTAACGTTGGTTCAAACTTTTCTTTGGAAGTTCCAATTTCGTTGAAATTTTGATCTTTCCAGGTTCAAAAGTTAGAAAATTGTTGCATATCCTAATATAGTTAAAAAATGTTAAATTTCTTATGACAACAAATTTGAAAGTGAAAAAAATAATTGAATTTTTAGCGTGTAAAATACAGTTGTTTGAAAATTGTAAAATTTTTTTATATAAAAATATAGATATTTCAAATGCTTCAAACCTCCCCTTGGTTTTTAATGTTTTCACCTCAGGTTGGAATTGAGTTCACGTCATCTGCAGCGAGGACCTTGGTTTAGTAATTTCGGATGAGGGAGGCCCATCTTTCTGTTGGGCATCCGTTGGGTGCATCTAATGTTCCAGGGGTTGTTGAGCTGAGATGGCTTTCAGAGGCTCCTTATTTCTTCAAATGGAATATAGGTGCGGCAGAATGTCTTCGTGCGGACCACTTTTTTGTCATTAACCCCATACTAGTGTCGTTTTAATAGAACTCCGAGACAGTCGTTATGTGGAGCGCAAGTTGTCTGCTTCTTTTGCAGGGGTTGTGGTGACGTCAGAACGCGGAGCTATGATTGGCTCTGAATGAAAGACGTTGGATAGACCTTGAGGCAGCTTGCTTCGAGGTCTAGCCACTATCCTTTATTCACAGCCAATCGGAGCTCGGCGTCATTCTGACGTCACCCCAACTCTTGCGCAAGAAGCAGACGGCTTGCTCTCCGCATACTTTGGCAAGGGTTGCCTTGATGCATACCCGATACGGAAAGAAAACGTGGAGTCAATGGTATAACATATGGCCAGCACATCAGTACTTTAGCCCCATGTTGCCGTACAAGGAGCTTTGTCCAAATTGCTGGTTAAAAAGAAACTTTTCGTGTAAAGCTCGTAAAAATATTTGGCGCTGGAGAAAATCTGTGTTCATGTTCTGCCCATTGAAAAGCACAGCGAAACATTCCAAGCACGTATGTGATCTCACCGCCTTGCCGTCTCCTTTCGCACAATAAAGTATGTCTGCTATAGTCAGTGTCACCGTCGCAACGGAGCGTCTTCTTTATGGAGGAGCAGCGTCTGAAGCCAGCAACGCCATCTTCTAAATGTTGTTTGCTAATGTGACAGCCGCAAAGAGTCGGGCGCACCTGGTAGGGGTCTACACTGAAAGCCCCTGGGCAGTTCCGACAAGGCTCGGTGCATAGATCAGGGGATACTTCGGCTTTTTCGCCATGCATTTTAATGATGTAAACAAAAAGAGTTTGAAATGGAGACTTCACGCAGATGGCTGATTTTTTCCAGTGCCTTATATTTATGAAAACCATATTATTTTGGCCTTCCGACGGTTGGTGTTTTTCCCTTCCAACCGGGGGTGGGGTTAAAGTATTCACGAAAGAATCAGCATAGAAGCAATCAATGAACACAAAAGGGGGGGGGGGGGTTGAAGTATCCACAAAAGAATCGGGATAGAAGCAATCAATTAACACGAAACGGCGTAGTCAGTGCTGACTCCAGTGAGTCTAAAGGATCGATATCAGCCATCTAAAATGGTGGACGATGCTCACGGTTGCGTCGATTAACTTCGGCTGCTTCGATATTCCTGAAAATTTGCTAATGACCCATAATCCAATTATTTAATGTTACGTGGCTAGTGTTACATTGTCCGTGCGAATGAGGAATTCCCGTTTCCTTTTTCTTTCAGAATTAAGAAGCTGTCACCCAAATTATCTTGAGAGATGGCCCGCCCCCAAGAGATAGCCCACCCCTGTTTTTGGCATGATTTTCTACTTTTTCAGAAGCACTGAAAGATAGCCCACTTTTAGCACTTGCAGAGCCCCGGCCTATGGTGACCTCGGTGGAAATGGTGTTCTTACCTATGACGGGAGACATGCGAACATTGCTAACTTAAAAGGACAGGAATCTTTGCTTCATCACCCCTAGCTGCGATCGCAAGTTTCACAGGATACAAATTATTTTGACGTCAACTTTCAAAATAATTTTGAATATTATGTTGAAGTTCCTGAGGCCACTTCCGGAAAACGTGAAAATATTCCCAAAAACATTTTGACGTCTCCTGTCAAAATATTTTTGTAATTATTTTGACATCTCCAACTAAGCTTCGGGGTCAAAACCCACCGTGATGTGGAATGCCAAAAAAAAAAAAAAACGCTTCTCAATGTATGTCAGTTATCAGGCCACCTGTAACAATCGCTTGATTGTGCTAAACATTACAGAATGCGGTGCCGCTGCTTTTCATGATTTATATAGACAAAGGAGCTGAATGCTGTTACACTAAGTCAAGTGCTGGAGCTCAGAATGTACTTTCCTATATCGCTCGATTACTTGACTTAAAAAATAATTAAAAATCACTTTAAGAGAAACTATTACTTTTCGATAATTTTTATATTGTATGATTGTTTCAGACACATTTCAGGGGTCTCAAACATGCAGCCCACAGTCAATCAGCTGCGAGCCCCCCGTCACCACGTGTCAAACGCTAGAAAGGGTGTGCGCCATAATGATCTCATGTTGCCCACACATTTCCGCTCGAAATATTGTTCTGCTCTTTTAACATATTCACATAGTTTACACTGTTCTGTTTTCATTTGCCTTGTGTGTCATATTAATCTTTGCTTCCCATCTTTTTGTCACATTAATCACCTGTACAAGAATTCTGCTACTGGGCTATGAGCTCTTTGCTCAAGGACGCACGTCGGCTGCACAAACTGTCGCTCCGCAACTGCCGAAGCTAAAGTTACGAGCTCGGGATTCTCGCCTTCTGAAAATATCACCGTAAAATATAATCTCGTACTGCTGCTATAAAAATCGCCAGGGAAACAAGAACAGTCGTTTGAACAGATTTTTTTTTGCGTCGAGTTTAATTAATTTTTGAGTGAATTGAGCAAACAGTGTACTTGCTCTCTCGTTCTATTAAAGAATGCCAGCAGGTTGGCGAGACGTTTAAGTTTTGCTGTCACATCACGTAAGGACACGAGACAAATCAAATCTAAAAAATATGAGTTTACAAAGAGCAGGAAGCACGAGGTACGTTCTCTATGAAGGGTCTGGACCCCGCCTTACGTTGGCCCTCCACCTTTGGGGGCTACATTATCTGGCCCCTATACTTGGGGGAGACCCCCAAGTTATTTACTAATTCCTATTTTTACTTGGACGAGTGGGACACTCTAAAATACGTCTGAAACTAAAACCAATGGAAAAGGTAGCGCTCCCAGAGGGCAGTGAATTTCAGCCGACTGTTTGAGAAATGGGAGAGAGGGCAGTGGTCCTGCTCGGTTGAG